TGTTTCCGTTGTGTTGCGACTTGTTTCCGTTGTGTTGTGCTAATTTCGTTGTGTTGTGGCTTGTTTCCATTGTGCTATACTAATTTCCATTGTGTTCCAGCTTGCTTCCTTTGTGTTGTGCTAATTTCATTGTGTTGTGCTAATTTCGTTGTGTTGTGGCTTGTTTCCATTGTGTTGTGCTAATTTCAGTGTGTTGTGGCTTGTTTCCATTGTGTTGTGCTAATTTCAGTGTGTTGTGGCTTGTTTCCATTGTGTTGTGCTAATTTCAGTGTGTTGTGGCTTGTTTCCATTGTGTTGTGCTAATTTCAGTGTGTTGTGGCTTGTTTCCATTGTGTTGTGCTAATTTCAGTGTGTTGTGGCTTGTTTCCATTGTGTTGTGCTAATTTCAGTGTGTTGTGGCTTGTTTCCATTGTGTTGTGCTAATTTCAGTGTGTTGTGGCTTGTTTCCATTGTGTTGTGCTAATTTCAGTGTGTTGTGGCTTGTTTCCATTGTGTTGTGCTAATTTCAGTGTGTTGTGGCTTGTTTCCATTGTGTTGTGCTAATTTCAGTATGTTGTGGCTTGTTTCTGTTGTGTTGTGGTTTGTTTCCGTTGTATTGTGCTAATTTCAGTGTTGCGGCTTGTTTCCGTTGTTTGTGGGGATTTGTTGTGTTGTGCACTACTGGGCCACTGTAAGGAAGGATCTAGCAACATGACAAAAAAAAAATTCAGCTATTAAAAATTATAATGATCCGTGACTCTTACATATGTCGCATCAATTTCTCCAATCACTTTCTCTGATGCGTCAACCTCGAAAGCCTTTTTCTTCATGTCATCGAGAGTCACCTCATGACCATTCAACTCAGTCTGAATTTTCTGTTTAATGAGATAATAACAAGGCAATAATAATTATCTTTAAATAATAATTAACTAAATAATAAATCAAAGATGTTAAGTGTACATAAAAAATATATAAATAAAAATATATACAAAATAAATAAAAATCCCTGAGACCCTACACAGGACAAGCGGTTTTGAAGAAAACCGCTAAATTAAATTAAAAATAAAATAAAATATACAATAAAATAAATGTTTATTTGGCCCATATGTATGAGATGATATGAATACCTGTGCCTCCTGAGGTATCTGTGCAGCGTCTATGCCATCTGCTATGTAAGCAGTCAAATGTCGGTCAGTGGTGTTCAGAGAGTCCTGAATGAGGCGCAGGGTTTTGTCGTTCTCCTGGGCCCACTGCAAGCTCTTCTCCAGCTGCTGTCGCCTTTGTAGAGCCTGTTTTTGACATCAGAAAGCGAAAGAGAATCAAAACATGAGAAAATCCAATGAATATACTAAGGGTTTCAGCTGCAGCAATACAAGAAGTTCCTACCCTTTGCATTAGTTCATCCCAGCGTGTGTTGTAGTCCTCCAGTTTTTTGTGTATGAGCTCATCAAGGACTCTGCCATCCATAAGGGTCTGGGCTAATTCACGAATCTGGTTGCGGTTATATTCAGGATGCTCTCTAATCATGGTGTCTAAAGACTGGAAGGGAATGGGAAACCACTTTGATACCTATGATTTAGATGTCATTTGAAAACATAACACTTAATAAAAGATGCTTTCCATGGTGATAATGCAAGATTGAATTTTTGGTATGACTATTTTATCATCATAAGTGCATGTATTAGCTCATAGGAAAGAAAAATCACAAATGAGATCTATTTAATATCTCACATTTTCTCCTAGGCAACAAATTGAGTTTGTTCTGGAAGCATTCCTCATTTTTAAAGTAATTTTGGATAAAAGGGTCTGCTAAGTCAATAAATGTTTTGCTAAAGTCTCCTAATTCTCAGTTTTGTAAAATGTGTGTAACCTCTAGAGCAGGGGTTTCTCAAACGTTTTTGTCAGTTGAACCCCTTATATGTAAAATATTTCTTTGAAATACCCGCAAAGAAGTTAATATTTCAATAATTTAAAGGGGTCATATGATGAGATTTCATTTTTTCCTTTCTCTTTAGAGTGTTACAAGCTCTTGGTGCATAAAGAAGCACACTTCGCTTTTTCAGACCGATGAGCTTTGTAAAAATCGACGCGTTTCAAAAAGGCGTGGCATAGAGGAGAAACAATAATGTACAGTATGTGGAAAATAATGTGTTTTTTTTAACTTTAAACCGCATAAACACATTTCATTACACCAAATACACAAAATAATGTTCTTTTTAGCTACATCATATGACCCCTTTAACAACACATTCGCATATTCGTGGTTCTCTGGTGTCACATCACATGCTAGTAAACAAATAAAATATTGAATAATTTTTAGTAAGTGTTTCATTTTTTTTGGGTAATTATATACAGGGCTGCACAGCTTTGACAAAAAAAATTGCGATGGCAATTTGAACTGTGATTTGTAAAATAACTGTGATTTTGAACAATATTGTGATTCCGTTTTTTTTTATTTTATTTAATTTATTTTAATTTTCAACTTAAATTATAATTTTCAAACATTTTCTTTTCGACAACACACAAAGCCCGGTTTGGAAAACACTGCTCTACAGTTTCAGAAGAGATCATCAATAATCATCTGAGAAACTTTTGAGACAAAGTGGAATCTCCAATAAGAATGGTATTTAGGTCGGTGTCCTGCAATATGAAAGAGTAACCTCTAAACAATAAAATGTTCCTCTGGGACAGAGTGACCTTTCCAAGTCAAACTCTTACCTAAAATGAAAACTGTGTCATCATTTACTCACGCTCATGTCATTCTAAACCTGTCTGCTCTTATTTTTCCAGTAGAACGCAAAAAGAAATTTATTTATACAGCTCTTTTAACATCAACAGGTCATGGTGACCACAGGCTGTCAAGCTATAAAAAGGAAGAACAGAGCATAAGACTCAATATTTGTTTCCTTATGTGAAAATCAGACCAAAAACTATTCTTTTAAAACAACCTAAAGTAACCTATTTTTTATATGACTGGCTTTCAAGAGGCTTCCTCTTTTGGTAAACGGTCTCATAATATCTCTGAAGTTCATCTCAAAGATTTTTAGCACTCACAGTCAAAGCTTCTTCTATTTCCTCTACACCTCCTTGAAGGCTTTCGGTTTCATCAAGTTTCTTCTCCAGTAGGTCCATCCAGGCATTCTCCAACTCCAAATAAGACAGCAGCTCACACCAGCATGCCCACACTTCCTACAACAGCCAACAGGAATGGGCATGTGGTTAGTCAAACATATTTGATCAAAGGTTAGAAGAACCACATTAGTGGTTTGAACCGAAAGAGCCTGGCGCTGGCAACATCAAAGTCGTGGGTTTGATTCCCAGGGAACACACACACACACACTGATAAAGTGTAAATCTAAAAAGGACTTTAAGTTGCTTTGGATGAAAGCGTCTGCCAAATGAATAAATGTCAATGAACGAGACACTATTTGACTCCTGAGCACAACCCCATCACTGGCACAATATCAAGCTCACCTCTAAAGTCTTGCATTTTCCATCGAGCCGGCTGCACAGTCGCTGGTAGTTAGAAGTCAAAACATCCAGTTCTGCCTTTAGGGCATCATGGGCCGCAGGAGGAGCCTTTGAAATGAAATTGGTGACTTTATCCGTCAGTAGCTTCACCTTTGTTTCCTTTTGATGGACTTCCTCTTGAGCCCGCTGAGTGGGAGAGAGGAGAGGAGATTACATGAGCATTCAGATGTTTTCACCAAGGTTAGTGAACATCAGGATTCTCTTAAGCCTCTGTTTGCAAAGTTAAGCTAAGTTTGGCACTGGGACAGAGAGAATACCAGATCCCCGCTGTTGACTGTTGAACTTGGGAAGTTAAACAAAAATGTGCCCCATTTACTTCACTAAAAGCACAAAGCAACAGGATCACATAGATGTGAAAAGCTTCTGTGCACCGAGACGGAACCTGTTAGGAAATGAATATATTTCAGTTGTCTAGGTGTCAGTCTTCTGCTATCATGACAACTGTCTGGGGAGCTTCTCAGACACTTTGTTCTCAGTACAACATGTTCGTTTTTCTTTTCTTTAAAGTTTGGTGTCTCGACACTTTCAGTGAATGGGGTACAAATTGGTGTCCCCTGACTGTTGTTAAAAGCAATGAAGACACAAATCCCATGTTCTCTAGTGAGATTAGATGTGTTAGATAAGCTATTATCAAACATAAAACTAACACAGCATGAAAAGTAGTCAAACAAAGTCTCCCTCTTAAAATGTGAATTTTGGCTTGTTCCACCTCAGTGGTCCTGATCTTTTTGAGGTATCCCGCATTAGAAATAATATAATAAATGTCATAATTTTGACATACTTCAATCAACTGATATTCAATTATTTGTAGAATTAAAATATTTTAATACTTTAATTTATTGATAGTTAGTCAGTCCAAAAATCCAACCCTGTAACCACATGATTTTTATATACATGTAATATAATATGCAATATAATTTATTACATTTAGTTTTTATTTCATATTTAGGTAGAAAGAAAGTAACTAAATTACAAAAACTAGCATTTAAAATCTAAACATGTCCCACATTTTGGTAACGTTTGCAAAATGTGCACATTTCCAATACAACAAAAAACATCAAATATTTCATTTAACTTTTTTTTTTTTCTTTTTGCTGAAAAAGAATAAAAATGTTACTTTATTCAAGCTTTAACCGTTGTTTTTTTGAAGCTCCTCAAGATACACCCACAGAAAAGAAACATCATCAATATGATCACAGCTCTTTCATAGACAGCAACTAGAATAAATGAAGAACAAATAGAGACATTTGTTTTGTTTCCCCTACTCAGATTGTTTCCCTAAGAAAGAAAAAAAAAACACATTAAAGCTATGTATCTATTTAATAATATTTGAAATTGTTATGTTGAGTGATTTTTGTATGTTTTAACCATATTCTTTCAAGACCAAATTATCTAAATTAATCATTTTAGCTCTTACTTAATCATTTAAAACTACTTACAGGTGTTTCTGTTTTTAATTTTCCAGAGAAACGTCTAAGATCATTGACATTGACTCCATTAAGTTTTCTAAACAATGACATCTTCCTCTGAAGAAACATGTTTAAAAGGCGCAAACCTTCAGTTCCTCCACCGCCTTATGGAGCTCCTCAGGTGTCTTGTACTGGAAGTCTCGTTCCAGATACTCTTCCTCTGCCTGAGTGATCCACTCCTGCATTTCCTGCATCTCCTTCCTCAAACTCACCGTCATGTCCAGCCCTCCTTTCAGGGCTGATTTCTTAGCATATGCCTGAGGACCAACAAAAACACATTTTTGTTTTAATGACTACCTGAAAACTGCAGAAAAATGCTCTAATAACATCAAAGTTTCACTTAGATATCGCCTAGGTGTGAAAATGGTATGCGTGGGCTTTTAAAGATGACTAAATTGTACCTCACCTCGTAATTAATTAGTATAATGCACCGTAAGCCCATGTGGCCCGCTAATTACCTGTTTGCAAATGAGCTCCCACTGAGCATTGAGCTCATCAAGCATCTTCTGTATTTTGATGGCAAACGGTGTCTCAGCTTCCCTCTTCAAGGCCAGTCCCACCTCATTGATGCCATTCAGACTTGGTTGGACGGTGTGGATGTCGTTCACCAGAGCCTGGCAAATCAAAGGAGAATGTTTGAAATAGATGGTCTTGGCCATCCTGAAAACCAGGCCATGCCAATGCATTGACCCAATTCTACTAGATAGAAGCGAAGCTATTGCCATTATTGCAGCTAACTTACCATGGGGCACAAAAATACCGAGATACCATTGAAAAATGTAATTTCATGTTAAGCTACAGATTTCATGACTAGTAATATGAAAAATCATTCCCTGCCACTGCCTGAAAAGAGAAGGCAGGGTCTTTACTGAGTCAGGTCCCAACGGGTTTACGGCTTATTCATCCACCGCTGCGGCTATATTAGCAGGTCTCCCAACATATTTTTGCAGATTTCATCTTAATGAGAAACAGCTATTCCTCTTTCCAGTCCAATGCTTTAATTAAGGCTACGCTTCGCCTCTGCATAAAAAGCACTCTCTTCTGAATTTAAATTTTTGGGCCATGTTTGTGAAACACAATGGTGATTTTCTGGATCACGGTTGTTATTTTAGCACATCTTGCTCTAGGTCAGTATAGCATCAGAAGCCCTATTCTAGTTTGAACCACAAACTTAGTTTTTATTGCTAAATAAATAAAGACTGTCCTCACCGTGCACTGTTCCAACTGTTTCTCCAAAGCCTCTGCATCTCCCAGAGCTGGCCATTCCTCATTCAGGAAAACATCCACTTCTGCCATCCACTTCTGCAGAGTCTTTGTGTCATTCTACCATGGGATGAAATAATGGGTTATCTGAAGATGCAGTCACACTTTCTGCTGCAACAGCCCATAGAAATGTAACAAAAATGTAACAAAAAATATCAATAATATTAACATAAAACTAACAAATCACACATATTCCTTATGTAATATTTCTTATCACTAACAATAGTATATGTGGTGTTTATGGTAAACGTTTTATATTCATACTAAGTGAGGCAGTCGATCCTTTTGCAGTTTTATGCACTTATGTACTTTTTTAAAATATGTTTTGGCTACCACCTTTTTTATTTTATTTTATTTTATTTTATTTTAAGTGAATGGGATGAAACGGCAAATAATCAAACACTCATTGTTTCAAAAGTTTCGCCGCAAGGCATACAACACAATATGTTAACATGATTTGAGTTAAAAATGACTTGGTAACCTTTTCTGTGTACAGTAATAGTATTACAATGTACACAAGTTTGCTGCCATGACAATGTCTAAAATCTTTAAATGACCTTAAAAGTAATGAGAACAACTTTACAGCTCAAATAATACACATTTTAACAAAAGAATGAATGTGAAGTGTTTTATAAAATTACAAGCTGCATATTTAAAGGTCTCAATCACTTGCAATGTAAGTGCCTCCGTGTAACCTTGATTTTTGCTCTTTTTAAAGAAAACAAGTGACAAGTTATTACAAGTGACAAATGCTGTTGACTGAGCTTAATTTCTATTGAACCGAGAATCGTCACCTGAGATATAAAACGGCAACCTTTAAGTAATAAATTTCTCTTCTCTGAAGAATGTAGTTCAAAACCTTATAAGCTTTCTGGGTAGGCAGCTGACTAGGTGTTGAGACACAGCTAACATCTTCAGGTGCCTGCATTCCAGTACATTTTACTTGGAAAGCACCCAGCGTGGTGGAGGTGAAGTGTGTCTGCTTCAGAGAAACTAGAGCCAGTGCAATTTGAGGAAAAGCCTCATCAGCATGTTGTTTCAGTACGTGCCTGGAACTGCTGTAATTTGGTCATGTGATCCTGCAGCTTCTGGATATTCTCCTCCAGCTGCTCAGACACACGCCTCCAGCGCACCATCACATTGTCCAGCTCGGTCCGGTACTTCTGACAGATCTCTGGAGGCACTTTCTGGAACACCTGCTCAGCCATTTTATTGAGGTCATCCACGTCACCCTGATGGTCCTTCTGTGCTGCTTGAATTGCCTGAAAAATATTTTGGCACTCATTCAATGTGCATAAAAAAGTTAATTAAAAAGTACATTTAACAAAAATACTAATAATAGATAAATCTATGAATACTGATTGATTAAAAAAAATAATAACACATTACAAGTTCCTCATTATCTACCATAGTAAATGTGTCATTTTGGTAAATATGTTCCATATTAATAATAACTAATCATCAAATTAAGTGGTACAATCTACTTGAAATCTCCTAGAAACCAAATAAACCTACTAGAAACCAAAGTAACATTGATTTCTGTTGATTAATATTTATTTCATTGATACTAAATATTACCATAAATGTTTAAGTGTGTAATTGTTTGAATTTACTTTCTCATATCCCAGATGAATGTGCATATCACACTTGGAATCTTGTACAATTTAATAATGCTTTCAGCCCCATTTAACACATTCACTATTAAAATAAACACATTTTAAAACTAATGGAATGGTTTGAATTAATTTTGCATAATTCTGCAGATTTTATTTAAAAATCAGAACACAAACTGCAAATAAAGTCAGTAGATTCTGTCAGTAAACTATTTGTATGTGTAAACACAACTATTCAAATATTTGGGGTCTTTAATATTTTTAAATGTTTTTTTTATTATGTTCACAAAATATGCATTTATTTGATCAAAAATACAGTAAAAGTAGTAATACTGTAAAATATTATTACAATTTACAATAACTGTTTTTAGGTTTATGGACTAGTTTTGGCCACTAGAGGCTCTCATTGTGTTTTATTTTAGTTTCCCACCATTGCATCATGTGCTATTGTTCTCACCTGTGCCTCATTTCCTGTGAGTGTATTTAAGTTGCTCTGTTCCTCTGTTTTTTTGCTCAGTGTTTGTTATGTTGAGACCAATCTCTCCAGTCTTCTGGTAAATCCCTCTGTGATTTTTCTCGGGATTTATTTGCTCTGTTTGATTATCTGTCTTTTGCATCTTGATGTCCTTATTTTTACCCCTTGGAAGTTTTTAATTTTTTTTTATTTACCCTTTTGGGAAACACCATTTGCCCTTTGATGTTTCTAGACATTCTTTTGGATTTTTTGTACTGACTCCTTGGAAGTATTTGGAGTTTCTGTTTGTTATTACTTCATCATTTATTGCATTGACTTCTTGAAACGATTTGGATCTTCTGTTATGGAACCCCTTTCTGAACTAATTAAATGAGACATTAAGTTTATTCCCTGACTGAGCTCTCATTTCTGCAATTGGGTTCTCTATCTTCTCCTACATTGAGCCCTCACAGCCCTGTTCTAACCTTGGCCCTTACAGTCTCCCAAAAGAAAGAATTGACTCTGAACAGCGTAAATGAGTTGTTAGCTATTTGAATCCCAGTTCTGTGACGGCTACACGTCATGCGGTAACAATTGCATAATACCTGTCTATGTTTTATGTTGGCCAGCCGCGAACAACTTGACCTGCTCTCAAATACATAATTTTACGGATAACTCCTTCTCCAATCTCGGGGAGTTCATTGCGGGATTCATAAAACGCTTGCTCTTAAAAAGTGGCTCACTGAATCTCAACCTGATAAATAATAGATGTTTATATTTACTAGTGCTGGGCAGCGATTAATTGCATCCAAAATAAAAGTTTTTGTTTATATAATATGTGTGTGTGTACTGTACTGTGTATATTTATTATGTACAGTATATATAAAGACACACACGTACAGTATATATTTAGAAAATATTTACATGTATTAACATGCATATATTTATATTGATATAATTTATATTATATATAAATATATTTACTATATAAACATATATTTTTCTTAAATATATGTGTGTGTGTGTTTATATATACATAATAAATATACACAGTACAAACACACATATTATGTACACCTTTTATTTTGGATACGATTAATCGCGATTAATCATTGCCCAGCACTAATATTTTCTATCGAGCGTTCAAAATACTGAAATATGACAATGGGCGTATCATTTCTGTATGCGGCAGACCAATCACAACAGACTGGGCCATCTGTCCAATCAGAGCAGAGTAGGCTCACAGAAAGGAGGGTTTTAGAGACTGAATCTTAGAACTGCTTCAAACTAATCTTTTGAGAATCGTTGAAAAATGAGGTGATATTAAATGCATATTTTGAGAAAAGGAAAGCGTTGTTTGACCTTGCATGCATGTAAGCCTATTGTAGGAGACTCCCAAAACAATATTATGCACCTTAAAAATTGCATAATAGGGGCACTCATAGTGCTGTCAAACAATTAATCGCGATTAATCACATCCTAAATAAAAGTTTTTGTTTTCATAATATATGTGTGTACTGTGTATATTTATTATGTACATATAAATACACACACACATATGGTATATATTTAGAAAATATTTACATGTATTTATATGTATATATTTATATTCATATAATTTAATTTATATACAAATATATTTAATATATAAACATGACATATTTTTCTTAAATATATACATGCATGTGTGTGTATTTATATATACGTAATTAATATACACAGTACACACACATATATTACATAAACAAAAACTTTTATTTTGAATGCGATTAATCGCGAATAATCATTTGACAGCACTAATTTTAAACTTAATTTTTACTTAATTCTTATTTATTAAATACATTTAAAAGTAGCCACTTTTACTGTCTTCAGTGTCAAATGATTCTTCAGAAATGATTTTATGAAATAAAATCTCATACCTTGATGTCTTTGAGCCTCTGCTCCATGACAGGATACTCAGTCACTGCTGTGGAGGGGATGGCTAGTTTATTCTCACACTGCTGCAGCCAGGCCAGCAGCGCTGCCATCACATCCTTATAACGTGCTGGTGGAAGACTAGACTGGACTAATACAAGAGAAAACAAAACAAAACATGTCTGAACACAATCTCCAGCCAGCAGTCCCGCAGTTTTCCCACAAATCATGAATGTCCATCATTCACAAAATGCCCCACTTCCTATATGTTTGTTTCATTATCAAATCATCTGATTATGTTTCAGCAATTATTCAAAGGTGAAGTACTGTCAGAGTCATTTTTAATCACATTTTAGCATTCTGCATAATTCTGAAGATTTTCTCACACAATCAGCATAGAAAATAGTTTGAGAATCTTTCTAAATTGTGTAGAAACTCATTAGACATGAACTACCTATCAGCCAGAGAGTACTTATAAATTAGAACAAGGCCATGAAAGTTTCAGACGCTTTTGTAGCATAATAGGATAGAGATGCTCGTTGATTTGAAAGATTTATGAAAATGCTGCCAGCTCAGAGGCTAACGTAACCAAACCAGACCACACTGCAGTCTGAATCCTACGTACAAGTGCTGTCATTGTACAGTATGTGAGTGATCCACTTTTAAACTCCCTCAACGTTAACCCAAATAGCACAGCACTAGACACCCCTCACCCAGAACAAGCTGTCGTTCCCTGGCCCTCAGGTCCTCGAGGACATGGTGGTAGTGCTCTTGGAAGGCAGAAATGTCAGCATCAAAGAGAACAGGCGTCTCTTCTTTCTGCTGCAGCTCCTGAAGTTGTTCATGCAGCTTGTCCACTTGTGGTTGTAGAGCGGAGAGACGAGCGATCTCATCCTGTGAAAGGTAATAAAGCATTGGGCTTGTAACGTTTCAAGCTAAGTCACATAATGGCACAAATACTGGCAGGAAAATGGCCCCATCTTTTTGCTGTCAGCCCTTGTCACCTGAAGTGGGAACAAACATGAATATTTAGCACTTATAACTTGACTCATAACTTCAAAATGTCTATACTGATTCAAATACAAAGAATATTGTTTTGTTGCGAGGCAAATGTTTTTACAGACTTCACAAATTCAATAAAAACTTCATAAAATCTCATCTTTAGCTTTGAGTTTTCTCTTCACAACTCTTTCATTGCATCTTCTGTCCTTTAGTAAAGCGTATATAGAGATTATTTATGATATGCTGTATATAAATTACAATTGCAATAAAATAGTTATAATAAAACTGTATTTTTATTGATCCAATAAAAATAGTAACGTTGTAACTTAAATTACATTATTGCTGTCTGCTACCATATGAGATTCTCTGTTTCCTTTTTTTTTTTCGAGATAGGTTGACGTGAAATATAACATTTTTTATAATTTTTTATAATTGATATATATATTATTTTTGTAATTGAGAGAGAGAGAGAGAGAGAGAGAGAGTTGTAAGATATTATTGTATATCAACATTTGCAGAGAAAAAAAATATATATATATCTTTTCTCTGCAAATGTTGATATACAATAATATATATATAGAGAGAGAGAGAGAGAGAGAGAGAGAGAGAGATTCATAAAATGACAACATTCATAAAGACATTGACAAAGACCTGAAGTATAATTTTGATGAAAAATTACAAAACTAATTTGACCTCCAAACCAAACTCCAGTGTTATTCGGCCCTAAATAGAACCACCAAATTGGCAAATTACTTATCAATCAAACAATTAAAAGAAAGACAAATCCTTTCAAAATATCGACCACGACTTAGAAATAGAGAAAGGAAGACATAAAAAATCCTGGATACCGAGAGAACAGCGACTATGCAAGCACCGTGACTTAAATCAAATAGAGGATGAGAAACACTTTCTTCTTGTCTGCCCCAAATACACCACTACAAGGCAAATATTCTTTCCACAATTTGAAGTATTGCATTGTTCATTTTTTTCTCTGGATGACTCCGTGAAACTATGCTATATACTCGGAGAGGATGAGATGGCAGTCAAACTAGCTGCAAAATATGTATACACCTTACACACCATACGAAATGGTTAATTAATTTGCTTTATTTTACATTCTTCATTGTATATATTTGTCATTATTATTATTAATATTAGAAATACTGTCTGCTGTTGTTATTTTTATTTTATTGTATTTATTCATTTATTTTCTCTTATTTATTACTCATTTTTTGTCTCCTTTTTTACTTTGATGGTGTAATCATATTCTGTATTGTACACATGCTTTGGCAATACTGTAACACAAATGTCATGCCAATAAAGCACCTTGAACTTGAACTTGAGAGAGAGAGAGAGTGGGTAAAATAAGTATTGAACACATCAACATTTTTTTCAGTAAATATATTTCTAAATATATATAATAAAGGTGTAAATATATTTCTAAAGGTGCTGTTGACATACAATTTTCACCAGATGTTGGTAACAACCCAAGCGTTCAATACTTTTTCCCTGTGTCATTCCATTTTATTACACATAACTTAATTTCTGAACTTATGTGTATTGTTTTCTTTGTATGTATGGATTGCTTGGGTTGTTACCGACATCTGGTGAAAATTTCATGTCAACAGCACCTTTAGAAATATATTTACTGAGAAAAATGGTGGTGTTTAATACTTATTTTACCCGCTGTATATATATATATGTATTTATGTATATATTTATATAAACACAGCATATAGTATATATTGACTATTATATATTGTACTATAATTACTCTGCGAATATTGATATACAATAATGATTTAATTGATAACTATTAATATAACTATATTCATTAATATGCTTATGTGGGTATATGGAGGGTTAGAGTCAGTCTTCATATATGTGTATGTGATACCTGGGGCATAGTAAGATAAGGAATGGGTTAATCACATCAAATGATAAAATTATCACAGACACTCAAGGTCTTTAGGGAGACATGTCTCTTCTGAAAGACATTACAGAAACAAGGATCTGGTAAAGAGACAGAAGCGAGAAAGACATTCATATAGGAAGCTGTCAGGCACAGATACTCAAGGATAAAAGAGGTAAGAACAGATGAACAAAGAAAGACTTTAAACCTGCAGAGCTTTGATCACTCAAAACTTTTTTAATCACACAACTTGTTTCTGTCCCTGATGATATATCATATTCATTAATCTAACAGGCCACGTCTACCCCACTGAACATATACCACAGCCATCAGAAAGTGGAAATGTGTTCCTTTTTCAATTAAATCATCAAATATAAGAACCATCATCAGAGCTAAATCTAACTGCAGTTAAAATTCACCAGCCAGGCCAGCCAGAGTCCCCGTCAAAGGGGTCATTTTAAGAGAAATTGATTTTCCTTGATCTTTTGACATGAAAGATAGAATTATTGCAGACTGTTTTGTGAACCTGTCAAAATGTAATGAAAAAAGAAAAGAGGCAACTATATTGGACCCGTCAGCAAAACCCAGAACCCATAACTAAGCGTTTTAACATCTCATGCACTTATTTTTTAATAAAAACAAGACAAATTATTTTAAAAAATTACCCCTTTGAATCAAATTCAGAAAAAAAAACTTTCAGAATAAACTATAAGAATTACTTGTTAAAACAGAAGAATGTAGTTAACAATTTTCAAAGAAATAGTTCACTCAAAAATGAAAATTTGCTGAAAGCTTACTCACCCTCAGGCCATCCAAAATGTAGATGAGTTTTATTTAGAAGCAATTTACATCACTTGCTCACCAATGGATCCTCTGCAGTGAATGGGTGCCATCAGAATGAGAGTTCAAACAGCTGATACAAACATCACAATAATCTACAAGTAATCCACACAACTCCAGTCCATCAATTAACATCTTGTGAAGTGAAAAGATGTGTGTTTGTAGGAAACAAATCAATCATTAGGTGTTTTTAATTTCAAACCACTGCTTCCAGCTAAAATACGAGTCCTCAATCCATAAAATTGCGTTCTCCAAAAAAGTAGTCTTTTCTGAATCAGGAGAGGAATATGCACAGATCAAGCAGCGTTTACAAGTGAAAACAGTTCTAAACAAATACAAAGAACAACAGGGGATGGACTTTTTCCAATGGAGAAAGCTTTATAGTTGATTTTGGACAGAAGCAAAGTTTTTTTTTTTTTACAAACACACAGCTTTTCACTTCACAAGACATTAAAGGGGTCATATGACGTTGCTAAAAAGAACATTATGTTGTGTATTTAGTGTAATGCAATGTGTTTATGCGGTTTAAGGTTCAAAAACACATTATTTTTCGCATAATGTACATTATTGTTTCTCCTCTATGCCCCGCCTTTTTGAAACGCATCGATTTGTACAAAGCTCATCGTTCTGAAAAGCGAGGTGTACGCTGATTGGCCAGCTATCCAGTGCGTTGTGATTGGCCGAATACCTCAAGCGTGTGACGGAAATGTTACGCCCCTCACCATAGTGTGATGCCGTGTCCCGGTGTGACGAGACAAAAACATGAAAACCCATTACAAACGAGGC